TGTCGATACTTTTTAAAATTACGCGTGTTTTTTCCCTTCATTATTTTTATACAAAACTCAAATCGAAAAACCCTAAAGGCAGAGAACTCTTCCACTCCGACGGTGATGACCTTCAAATGGAGGGAGCCCCAGTGTATCAACATTGAAGAAAATTGAAAGTGACCAGTAAGTATCAATGTATTCATGTAATTGTTCTTGAAATGGTAATTGGATTCAAGTTTTTAAGAACTTTTAATTGATTACAAATTTCAAATCTCTACATTCTGACTGAATGCAAAATGATGAAGGAAACTCATAATCATGTTGACTGCATAGCCAATAAAACACCCTTTCAGGGTCCAAATGGTAAGATAGGAATTGGTAAGACAAGCTTTTTTTGAGGGTTTAGGGACTGAATCCCTACAAAGTAAGGAGTACATGATTGAACATTATATTAAATAGTTGTATTCAGTTGTTAAAGAATTGTTTTTAATTTTATACAAATATAGTTGTAATCTTCAAACATGAACTCCTTACGTTGGAGGGATTCAGTCCCTAAACCCCCAAAGAAAGCTTGCCTTACCAATTCCTAGCTGACCATTTGGACCCCCAGGTTTTATTGCCTATGCAGTCAACATGATTAACCTGGATAATCTGAAGTTGATGGCGGATGGAATCGATTGGTTCTAGAGGGGAAACTGGTGATTTTGTAAGTTGAATTAAAAATAAGTTTGTGGTTAAATTGTTAAAAGTCGTAGATTGAATGTTGTGGTTTACAATACTTAACGTACTGACAATTTGAATGTGAATGTAATTATGTATGAGATGAGAAAAATTAGCAATAACAATAGGTTGTTGTACATGTTTCTTATACATAGTAGGAGTCATGTTGATACTTATGATATATGGAGATCGTTCTTTGCATTATTCCAAATGTCTCTAACATCATGTGTTGGACTGAATAACCATTCCATTCCGTCTTCAAAAAAATCAGTTGAACTAGACTGCGTGCTTGTATTCAAACCCAGCTTGACTTGAGGACATGTTAGTTTGTTATGTCCCTCACCGTTGCAGAACTCACATCGTCTAATTTCCTTCTTGACTTTGTTCTTTGTTACTTCTTTTCACTTGTGTTGTTTCCGTTAAGGGTCACAAACGTTGTTTAATACACTGCTCCGATTGACTGGATCATTCAAACCAAACGAGTTCTCAAATTCTTCTATTAGTCTTTTCATCTCATCTCTTGCGGTTTTAAAAGACGCGTATGTCTTTGATGCAGCGTAGCATAACATACTTGACGTTGCACGTAGAGAAGCAAACCTTGCCATTTGTATTATTTCTGGAGGCACATTCAAATCAACAAAACTGAATGCAGAAGCCTTCGCATCCTTAGTCCACCTACTTTGAATTAAAGACCCGGGCAAATATGTGTAATCCAAGTGCTTCAAAACGTAAAGTTGATGGCGACATGGAAGTCCAACGGTCTTGAATTTTCTGCATGAGCAATTTAATGTTTCCGTACGAGAATCAAAACTAATTTCAAATGTCCTATTTTTTCTTTGTACTTTTTCAAATAAAAATATTAACATTCATCTGATAAGGACTGAATCTCTTCTTGAATCTGGTACAATGTCTCCCATTGAAGTTCTTCTTGGAACGCATGAAAAGATTCACGCGTAAAAATCTCATAAGCATGACTTTCAAATTCAACCAGTTTTGTGATCTGGAAGGGCTTTGTCTGGGAACTTAAGTAATCCGCTTTCAACTCGTTCAGATGCATTCTACTAATTCCATCTTCAATTGCACGAACAACATCTAAATAAGTCTTCTTGTGTTTCAGTGCAATTGCGAGTGAAGAATTTATAGACTCGCATCTTTGTGTTGAGCGAATATTAGCAAAGAAATAACCTGTTAGATATGCTTGTGCCCATAAGTGTTGAGTATTTCCCTTCTCAATCACCCATGGATGATTTTCGACGTTGAATTTTGAAACAACTGAACGCCATTGAATATTAAATTCATCGGTTGTCCACCTGGAAGCCATGCATTTTGAGAATGATGCTGTAAGTTTTGGGTCACCAATGTTAGCTTGTGCATCGCGAGAAAGATGCCAATAACATAATCTGTGCTTAGCATTAGGGATAACAGATTTGATAGCCCTCTGCATTGCCCTATACCCATTGGTGACAACTGAAATAGGCAATTTGTTCATCATGGCTTCTAAAAAATTATGTAGCACCCACTCGAAAGATTGAGACGTCTCGTCAGTGATTATGGCAGTAGCAAACACAATTGTGTTATAGTGATGATTGACACCGACAATAGGCATAATTGGTCGACCATACAAATTATTTTTGTACGTTGTGTCGAACGCAATTACATCACCGAAGCATATGTAATCTGATCTCGATGTAGAATCCGACCAAATAAAATTATGCAACTCTCCTGATTCGTCTACCGAGTATGTCACAAAAAACCCGGGATCATCATGTTTCTTATAATCAAAGTAAACAATAAGTGTATTCACATCCCCATCGACGATTTCCTTTGCTTTACCTCTTTGAAGTGCATTGTAGAGGTCTTTATGTGTAAATCCAACATTATGATAGCCCCCTGCCTGCTGCGTTAAATAGTTCATTACTTGTGACGTGCCAACACCGACCTCTTTTAATATTGTTACCTCATCGATATCAACCTTACTTACAGCTCTATTAAAATGCATAAATGGTGTCATAGCAGGTGTGCACAATGCATGATTATGTTTCTGATAAGACTTACTTATAACCCACTGATCGTTTGTATTTGTTGTTGTAATTATAACTCTAGCCTTGCATCATGTTCTTGTGATTGGCGTATGAGCACGTTGACGATCAACGGTATTGACTTTTGATTCTCGAAACCCTTTTTTTGAACAACAAAATTCTTGTATCTTTACATTCCCTTCTATGTCAAGCTGTGTTGTTCCCCGACGTGCACTAAACCCATGTTCCCGTGCGAATCCCTTGTAAAAGTACCAAGCTTGATCACGTGAAGAGAAGAGCTTACCAACCAATATGTCAGATTCATTAAACATTATGTACTTCATGGCATTCATCGGTTGGCTTAACATTGTCTGCATCAGTATGATCTATGGAAAAAATTTTGTTGTGCAATTTCAGTGGTCCCAACAAGAGTTGATGGAGATGTAAGTAAAGGTTCATTGAACAACATGTTTTCATTGGTGCTTTCAATAGGATGTGGTATTGGTAGTGGTAGTTGAAGGGTGGGTACAACATTAAATTTGCAGGATATATTCAGGTACGTACAATAACTACAACATTCAATAACTTTAAAGTAATATGTAAAATTACAATGTAGGTGGTTAAAATATACTTTTTTAATGACAAAATTAGTAAACACAAAGATTTGTTTCGATACATATGTAAACATATGTGTCGATACATTTTCCAAAAGTATCGACCCCAAAAACATTGAAACAAATAATTATAATGTAATAGGTAAATTAACAATGTAACCAGTATACATATATCGGTTAATTATAAAACAGGTCAACATAACGTATCAACACTATTATAATTTATGTAGATACTTATTATCTAGAATGAATGGCCAAACGACAGGCACGCATAAAGTGTCGATACATTTACAATGTAACCGGTAGAAATATACTAGGTTAATGACGAATAGGTCAACATAAAGTATCGACACTTTTTAAATTTGTGTCGATACACTTGTCCAGACGAGGAGTACGCATAAACTGTCGATACATTTATAAAAAGTATCGATCCCAATACAATGAAACCAATAATTATTAACAGGTTACAATGTAACCGGTAAAAATATACCGGTTAATTAGCAAATATGTCTACATTATGTATCGACACTCTTTAAATATGTGTCGATACGTTTTTTCCAAAATGAAAGCACAAACAGGTGCACGCATAAAGTGTCGATACATTTAAAATTGTATCGATCTCAAAAACATCGAAACCGATAATTATAATGTAATAGGTCAATTTACAATGTAACCGGTTGAAATTTACCGGTTTTATGAGAAAATAGGTCAATATAAGCGCTACATATTACATTATATAAGCGCTACCTAATATGTTATTGTACTTGATAATATTTCCGGTTAAATGTCTATTTTATTATATAAGCGCTACCTATTATATTATATAAGCACTACCTAATATGTTATTGTGCTTGATAATATTTTTAATTAAATAATATAACATAACCAGTCTAAATTTTAACTGATCACTTCTTTAACCGATCACGCCATTTTTTAGGCGCCACATAACAGAAGTACCTGGGTCATGTTCGCCTAATAACAATTTATGGAACATTTGCTTATCCAGAACGAAGCTAGCGCTAATCAACCGGCGTGTGAGTCAAGCGATAAGCGCGTGGTTTTTTGGGTATGATTAGATGACATAGCAAGCTACGATTGGTTAAAATTAACTTACCCTATTCCCATAATTGGTTAGCCTTTGAAAAATGAAGGTTAGATGGTCAAAAAGGCGGCTGCCGAATTCGGTGGTTGCAAGACATCTGATGCATTATCCTACGAATCTTCAGTCATGACCAATGGCTTTTAAGGTTTTACACTAAAAACGTTGAAACTTGAACGAATCTTTCTTACCTTGTTTTATCTAGAAAATTTGTGTAAGAAAGAAATGGAAACAGACAAAGGAAAACACCAGTTCCCTGGATTGTACAATAGAAGAGAGAGACAATTAGATATTAGGAATTTATAAGAATTCGATGTTATTCAAGTAAATTTTCAAATTTTGTTGGTAAAAGTTAATATTAATTATTATTAAAGAATTTAACTCAATTTTAAATATAATCTGTTCTCGTAATTCTAGGAGGATATTAGATTAAAATATAGAGTTAACTGAATATTTGACATTTCTCAATGAATAGCAAATTGAAAGACAGAAAGATTGTTTGAATTATTATTATTATTTCAAGTCAAAATCTAGAGCGCAAAGCTGTGTCTCTCCTTATAAGATGCCATGTTCTTACATTTGAAGGTTGAAAATTAGAGAAAAGCATCAGTTGGACAATGGAGAACAATTCAGAAAAGTCGGTTCTTGGAGATGAAGAGAAGACAATCAAGTCTAGAAGCGCTGGAGAAGAGAATCATGATTTTGTAGTAATCAACAAGGTAATCTTGTCTTTATATATCTCTGTGTGTTTGAAATTCGGTTAACCTATCAAATAAAAAACCTTTGGGGTTCCATATACATGTCTGGTCTGGATTATACTGTTTTAATTGTAAGCAATATTTAACATGTCCGGTAGTTCCAAGTTTCTGTGTATGTTCATAAGTTTTTTTTTTATTCAGTAAAAAATCTAAAATATGTTTTGAATGAACCAAGGGGAAAATCTTGTATGGGGTAACTTCGTCTTGTTTCTTGGTTTTCATATTTAGTTTGAACCTAATCTTCAATTGAGGATGAACTGAAAGTAGAAACCCAGATTTTGCTTTGGGTTTTCTGTTTTTTCTTTCTTGAAGTGTAATAGGATTTGTTTGTACATGAGTAGGAAGAAAATCGAAGGCATGTGAAGCAAGAAGATGATAACAAAAAGGATGTTTCAACCGCCATGAAAGAGGTAAAAAGAAGCTACCTACAACTTCATTAATTAATCAAAATCAACTACATCGGGATTCATTATTTTACTGAATTCTATTATATATATACTCAGCTTGCATGCAGCGTTGAAATTCATTAATTAATTCATATATATAAATACACACACACGTATGGTGTCAGCTAGTGTCTAGGTTCATCCATGGGTTTTCTGGCTTACATATGTTTAATCACATGATTAAAACCCAAAGCCATGTGGTAGACTTTGAGTAGTGGATGGTGTTCCTCCTTTTCTCTTAACATAATACATAATTCAGATATATGTCTCTGACGAAAATAATTTCAAATTATGTATTTATGATACTTAATGAACAATCCAATTAAGATTGATGAATCGATTTTGTTTTTCCAGAACCATGAAATTGAATCAACAAAAGCCAAGATGGGAGAGGTTAAAGAAGAGAACGAAAGGCTAAAACTGTTACTATGCCAAATCGTAAAGGATTACCAGTCCCTCCAAACGCGTTTCCATGACGTTCTTCAAAAAGAAGAAGCAAACAAGTCCTTCACCATGTCAGCTGCAAGCAGCCATGAAGAAAACGAAGAACACCAGCACCTTATCTCTCTTAGCCTGGGGCGGGGTGATCCACCGAAAAAAGAAGAGAAAAAGTGTAGCAACAAAGAAGATGACGGGAAACATAATAATAATAATGGACTAGAGCTTGGTCTGGAATGCAAATTCGAGCAAGATAGTTCAACTGAGCCGGAGAAGAACAATAACCCAAGCTCTGAAAGTAGCTTAGGGAAACCGGAGGAAGAAGAACCAACTGAGGTATGGCCACCGAGTAAAATTCTCAAGACCATGAGAAGTGGAGATGAAGAAGAAGTTTCAGAGCCAATGCAGTTGAAGAAAACTAGGGTTTCTGTCAGAACCAGATGTGATACGCCAACGGTAATGTATATAGTACGAAGCTTTAATTCATTTTTTTCTATAATGGTGAAATTGTTATAATATATTGAGCTGATGAACTAGGGTTTTGTATTCATGCAGATGAATGATGGATGTCAATGGAGAAAATATGGGCAGAAAATAGCAAAAGGGAATCCATGTCCTCGAGCATACTACCGTTGCACGCTTTCACCCACTTGTCCAGTGAGAAAACAGGTGACAGCAATTGCCTGATTTATTTGAAATCTGACACCCAAATAATTGATCATACTAATCATAATTTCCAAATGTCATCATTTTTACCATTGAAAAAAGAAATCATTTATGACACTGTTCATCAGTTCATGAACCATGACAACATAAAAAGCAATTTCACTTTCATAAAGGACCACGATTAAAATGTGGAATATCATGTGCGCTTGAAATCTTAACATCAATCAATCAACTATGTTTTGCTTAATTTGCAATGTGTGTATATATTAGGGGTTTTGTTTTTAATTTTCAAATATGAAACACCAGGTACAAAGATGTGCCGAGGACACGTCCATCTTAATCACAACCTATGAAGGGAACCATAACCATCCACTACCTCTAAATGCGACAGCAATGGCTTCCACCACTTCAGCAGCAGCTTCCATGCTACAGTCTCAATCATCGAGCTCCCAACCTGGCCTGGGGACCTCAGTTTCTGCACCCTCTGCTTCCATGTCTTCTTCTTCAGCTAACCACCTCCATGCTTTGAACTTCAACTTTTCCCAAAACTCAAGCCCATATCATCAATACAATTTCCTGAACTCTTCGATCTCAACTTGCAATTCTCACCCAACTATCACCCTTGATCTTACTACTGCACCACCCAATAGCTCATCATATTTCAGTAGATTTTCTAATGCACCCAGATATTCATCAGCATGTCTCAACTTTTCCTCCTCGCCTTCTTCTTCTTCTTCTTCTTTAGAACTACTCTCCAACCCACAGGCATCTTGGAGGAACACTAGCCACTTAACCTTTGGGGGGGCATTCCCTAACCATGCAAATAGTGCCATTGGGACATTGGCTTATCCTGGAAGGCAATCACCTTACATGCAAATGACCAACCAGGGTTTATCAGAGACAATAACAGCTGCAAGCAAGGCGATTACATCAAATCCAAGCTTTTGTTCTGCCTTGGCAGCTGCTCTCACTTCCTTTGTTGGAAATGGAGGTGGTTTACCAAGAGACAATATTAATGGAAAAGAAGGGAAACGGGTTGAGTCATCGCTTTCTTTGAATAATCCTCATCAGCAACAACAAAAGCAAGGAAGCTTACTGCTATTCCCGGTATCCAAGACTGCTTCAGATCCTCCTGCAGATAATAGCAATGATCATATCAAGTGATGCTCTAGCTATTGTATGTTAAAACATTTTCACTTCCAGCCCTCAGATTCCAATTAATTACCATGTTTTTTGCAGTAAAGTAAAAGATTCTTTGCTATATAGAACGAAAGTAATAGACTTTTGGGTTTTTTGTATTTAAGGTTGGTGATGTTTTGTACCCTTTATTCCTTTCAATATTCTAAGCAAAACCTTTTTTAATACATGCATGCAACACGTGGCATGCATGCTCGCTTATCAGACTATTTCAAAACAACAGGTGGCATACAATGTTGTTAAATGGCTACACATGGCATTAACAACTGCCCATGCATAAACCGAAAACTTGTTAATAATATTGACTCGCAGATTTAACACATGAAAAGAAACTGCTTTGCCTGAAAAGTGAATCCCAATCCCAAATTTGGTGTGCACTTTTTCTGCAGGTATATCATCTCAAATCCTTTCTTGGTATGTTTTCTTATTAGGACTTGGAGTAGATTTTATATCCCGACCATTTTCTTTTGTTATCATCTCTGTAAATTTATGCTTACGTTTTGCAGTTTTTACTTGATTTTCTTGGCCCTGTTAGATTTTTAAGGTGTGAATGATTCTTAATTATAGAACGTATTGGTTTTCCGAGTGCAAAATTACATGATTTTTTAAAAAAATTTGATGTTAATCAATCCATAGTGAACTATAATTATATATTTTATTTAAATTGATTGAGGATGGCAGAATAAGGGTTTAAAATCATGTCATAAGTTATTTTCTTTTGCGATGATTAGAGAAGATAAAACAATGTAGATGCAAGGATTATAACACATTAAAGTCGTGTCATGAATAGCATTAAAAATTTCTGGACATGTTAATATCTTTGTTATTTAACATTACAAATATATAGATTTTTCTGATAGATAATTCTATATATAATATTAAATAATACAGATATCTAAGTTATTTTATGGATATTTCTAGAGATCAATTATTTCTATATTAATCTAGAATATTCCCAAGATATATCTCTTAAATGATAATTATATATTTACCTAGAAGTTGTATTGAATTTCAACAGCAATGTTCAATCAATCTTATCTTCAACTATTTAATCTTTTAGTCCCTAAATTTATCATGATCATCCAAAAATGCATTAAATACCTCATGAACTATCATGTGACATGCTTAAAACAAAGTATAAAATGTCTCCAATCTAAGTATATAACACATATATCCCCCATGTCTCACAATAGACCATCGTTAAAATGTTTTTGTCCCTCTATTTTGAAACTCCATTCTTAGTCTTGTTTCATTTATGTTAGTAATTTTGGGCTTGCAACATTAACAATAACTCTAGAAATTTGGGTGGTAATTTTTATAGTTGCATCAATAGTAAAATTAGAGGATGGTACACTTGCTTTATGTTTTTTCCTGTGGAACTTCTCGTTCTCCCTCAGTGTTTTTTTCTAGATCCTCCGTAAGCTTTCGAATTTCCTCATTTGATGTCTTTTGGACAAATTTAACATGTATTTCAGCCTTCTTACATGTCAATCGACCCTCTTTCAACTGTCATTTAAGCCTCGTGATTGACTTCTTCATTTTTAACTCAACTTATTATTATTCATTAATTCATGCTTATAGTTTCATGAATAAATATACACACTAAAAACAATTTATAAAAGGGAGATGTAAAAACAAATAAAATACATATCATCAAATTAACAAATATCATTTTTAGTATGATTTTTTCACCAGCTCCTTAAGCTCAAACATTTCTTACTTGAAGTGGACTTTCTAAGAAGCATCTTCTTCATTTTGGTGACGGATAGTTGCATGTTTCTGTCACATAAATACAGTCACGGATTGACACATATCCCTATTTTACACTAAGTTCCTACAAGAAAACATTAACCTTAAATTCAATACATAATTCATGAGAATACGGTTGTCCACTATTTTGTGCAATGACAGTCAGTGGCGGAACTCAACATATTTTCTGGAGGACCATTTAAATTTTTTGAGCAAACCAAGAACATTAATAACGCCTATCATGGTTGTCTTGAGAAAATAGATAATTAGAGGAATAGATTTGATAAGAACCTACACTCAAGTCAAATTTCATTTATTAACAGGATATTCCTACATTGATTTACATAACTAGGGATCACGTTCTATAAACGAAATATTAACGTTTTCAATCTCAACAACCGGTGACATAAGAGGAGTGATATAAGAGGAGTGTGTTTGTGCGCGTGCACGTGCGTATATGTGTGTTTTTTTTTTAAGATTAAAATTCATGAACCCACATAATAAATTTTAATATTTAAAATAAAATTATAAATATTTATTGAATAAAAAAATATTTTTAAAAAATTATCTTCAACTGAGATGAAACACTTTATAATTTTATTGAAGATGAACAATTCGAAAAAGATGAATAACCAAAGAAGGAAAAATATATAATTTTTTTTGTATTTTGCAATAAAAAATGACAAAAAAATGGATATTAATTGTTTTTAATATATCATATTTAATTGGTTTCCAAATTCTAAAGTAATATGCATTTTTTTAGGCAACCAATTTTTTTATTAAGAAGAGGTGTTATATTTATAATGTAAATATCGAGATTCAAACCAAGAGAAGATGAGATAATATGAGTATCATGGGGGATTCTGCTATGCGGCGCCTAAAAAACGGCGTGATCGGTAAAACAAGTGACCGGTTAAAATTTAGATCGGTTATGTTATATCATTTAACCAGAAATATTATCAAGCACAATAACATATTAGGTAGCGCTTATATAATGTAATAGGTAGCGTTTATATAATAAAATAGGCATTTAACCGGAAATATTATCAAGTACAATAACAAATTAGGTAGCGCTTATATAATATAATAGGTAGCTCTTATATTGACCTATTTTCTCATAAAACCGGTAAATTTAAACCGGTTACATTATAAATTGACCTATTACATTATAAATATCGGTTTCGATGTTTTCGGGATCGATACAATTTTAAATGTATCGACACTTTATGCGTGCAACTCGTTTGTGCTTTATTTTGGAAAAAAGTATCGACATATATTTAAAGAGTATCGATACATAATGTAGACCTATTTGCTAATTAACCGATATATTTTAACCGGTTACATTATAAATTTACTTGTTACATAATAATTATCGATTTCGATGTTTCGAGGATCGAAACTTTTTACAAATGTATCGACACTTTATGCGTACACCTCGTTTGCCATTTATTTTGGAAAAAAGTATCGACCCAAATTAAAAAAGTGTCGATACTTTATGTTGACCTATTCTCTCATGAATCCGGTATATTTCTACCGGTTACATTGGAAATTTACCTATTACATTATAATTATCGGTCTCTTTGATTTTGGGATCGATACTTGTTATAAATGTATCGAAACAAAATCTAACAGTGTCGATACTTTATGTTAACTTGTTTATAATTAAAAGGTATATGTATACTGGTTACATTGTCAATTGATCTATTACATTATAATTATTTGTAGGATAATGCATAAGATTTCATGCAACCACCGAATTCGGCAGCCGCCTTTTTGACCATCTAACCTTCATTTTTCAAATGCTAACCAATTATGGGAATAGGGTAAGTTAATTTTAACCAATCGTAGCTTGCTATATCATCTAATCATACCCAAAAAACCACGCGCTTATCGCTTGACTCACACGCCGGTTGATTAGAGCTAGCTTCGTTCTGGATAAGCGAATGTTCCATAAATTGTTATTAGGCGAACATGACCCAGTACTTCTGATGCGCGTGACCAGTTAAAGAAGTGAACGGTTAAAATTTAGACCGGTTATGCTATATTATTTAATCAAAAATATTATCAAGCACAATAACATATTAGGTAGCGCTTATATAATGTAATAGGTAGCGCTTATATAATAAAATAGACATTTAACCGGAAATATTATCAAGTACAATAATATATTAGGTAGCGCTTATATAATGTAATATGTAGCGCTTATATTAACCTATTTTCTCATAAAACCGGTAAATTTCAACCGGTTACATTGTAAATTGACCTATTACATTATAATTATCGGTTTCGATGTGTTTGGGATCGATACAATTTTAAATGTATCGACACTTTATGCGTGCACCTGTTTGTGCTTTCATTTTGGAAAAAACGTATCGACACATATTTAAAGAGTGTCGATACATAATGTAGACATATTTGCTAATTAACCGGTATATTTTTACCGATTACATTGTAACCTGTTAATAATTATTGGTTTCATTGTATTGGGATCGATACTTTTTATAAATGTATCGACAGTTTATGCGTACTCCTCGTCTGGACAAGTGTATCGACACAAATTTAAAAAGTGTCGATACTTTATGTTGACCTATTCGTCATTAACCTAGTATATTTCTACCGGTTACATTGTAAATGTATCGACACTTTATGTGTGCCTGTCGTTTGGCCATTCATTCTAGATAATAAGTATCGACACAAATTATAATAGTGTCGATAAGTTATGTTGACCTGTTTTATAATTAACCGATATATGTATACTGGTTACATTGTTAATTTACCTATTACATTATAATTATTTGTTTCAATGTTTTTGGGGTCGATACTTTTGGAAAATGTATCGACACATATGTTTACATATGTATCGAAACAAATCTTTGTGTTTACTAATTTTGTCATTAAAAAGTATATTTTAACCACCTACATTGTAATTTTACATATTACTTTAAAGTTATTGAATGTTGTAGTTATTGTACATACCTGAATAAGTCCTTCAAATTTAATGTTGTACCCACACTTCAACTACCACCACTACCAATACCACATCCTATTGAAAGCACCACTGAAACATGTTGTTCAATGAACCTTTACTTGCATACATCTCCATCAACTCCTGTTGGGACCACTAAAATTGCACAACAAAAATTTTTGCCATGGATCATACTGATGCAGACAATGTTAAGCCAACCGAGGAATGCCATAAAGTACATAATGTTGATGAATATGACATATTGGTTGGTAAGCTCTTCTCTTTACGTGATCAAGCTTGGTACTTTTACAAGGAATTCGTACGGG